CCGATGCCAGCATTAATGCCACATCCGATGTCGGCATCGATGCCACATATGATGCCGGCATCGATGCCGGCATCGATACTGACGAATCAGTTATAGATTAATGGCTGATTTTTTTATGGTTTTGGATAAGGATTCAATCCAAGGGCTCTCATTCATTGATTTTTACTATAAATAAGGATAGAGAGTGAGGGGTTAGGAGTGTGAAAAATTTTATATCTCCATTTGGAGAGGAGAGTTACTCTTAATTGAGAAGACCTTCCAAACTTGTAACTTTTTGTTATAATTAATAAAAGATTTTTTCCACTTTAAATTTTTCTTTTTTTCTCTTTGTTGGATGATGAAGATGAAGATGAAGATGAAGATTAATTTGAAGGTTTGTTTTTCTTTTTTTCTCTTTTATTGCTTATTAGTTTAGATTTATTTCCATGCCTGTAGTTAGATTTTATTGTTTAAATAGCCAAGAGGCTAGAACCCTCTTGTCTTAGATTTATTTCATGCTTATAGATTATATTTATTTCATGTCTTTATTTTCTCGTATTTAATTCTTGCAATTTATTTTGTAGCTTAGTTTTTACAATTTATTTTATAGTTTAGATTTTATTTTCTTGCACTATTCGCCTTGAGGCTAGAACCCTCTTGGGATTAGTTTTTGTTTTTGTTTATTTTTTATTTTATTCGCCTTGAGGCTAGAACCCTCTTGGGATTAGTTTTTGTTTTTGTTTATTTTTTATTTTCTTTGATTTGCCTTGAGGTTAGAACCCTCTAGGAAATTACCATTTTATTTTTTTGTACTATTCACTTTGAGGCTAGAACCCTCTCAGGTTTAGTTTTTCTTTTTGTTCATTTTTATTTTTTTGATTCGCCTTTAGGCTAGAACCCTCTAGGGAATCACCCTTTTATAAGAAGTGGATTCAATTCTGGATTACCCATATCTTTAATTGAATCCGTCATCTTTAATTTCTTGAATTTTCTTTTTATTCTTAATTCACCTTTTTGATTCTTGATTTTATTCATCTTTCCTTATGAAAATCATTCATTCTTTGTCACATCCGCTCTCACTTACATTTTGTACCAATTTATACACTATCACTTTCACTCTCTCTATCTCTCCATAATTACATTCACTCATCACTCCTAATTGTCACACACACAACATAAGAACCGACTTTAATTTTCTCCTACAAAATACCTTCCTCGTGGGATTGATAACTTTTTATACTATAACTTGATTAGTTGTGCACTTGTAACTTTTTGGTATATGTTTATGTCGCATCAAGTTTTTGGCGCAGTTACCGGGGAAGGTGCTTAAATAGGATTTTATTTAATTTGGTTATTTAACTTGTGTGTTTTTTGTGAAGGAACCGCTTGGAGCTTGAAGATCACGGATTGGAGATTTAGAATTTGAAGATTTGCTTTTGGGTAACTCTTCGTTTTAGAATTTTTAATTCCACCCTTTATCTACTTCTTCACAATTAGAGACAATTAGGACTTATAAAAAAAGATTTTATTTTTGTTGGCCATAATAAAATCCACTCTCCACTTTGATATTTACTAACAAGATAATAAATTCAGACAAATTTCCCCCTTCTCATTTGTTTGATTGTTAACTCTAATTAAAAAAAAGATTTTTATTTTACCATCCTTTTTAATTGCTTTTAATTCATAAGGTTGCATTGCATATAGTTAGTAGGAATTCACCAAAGTGATTTGAGCATCTTGATTTAGCACACACTTAAAAATATTTTTAAGGGTAAAACCCCATAATCAAGATAAGGTGAGGGATTTCATTACCCTTTCCTTAGTCTAAAAATCACTAATTCCTCACTACACCACCCAAGCCTAATAAAACTCATTAGACGTTGGCCCTAAGGATTCGAGCTTAATAAGGAACAAAGAATTCTTAAGTGAACCGGTTTAAGTTTTCTTGGATTAGTTGGTGTCTAAGGTAAGGTTTAGGGGTTACGTAAAGTGCTCCGCAAGGAATGAGGTACTTAATTGATCTCTGATCACCCTCTAGTGATCTCTGATCACCCTCTAGTGATCTCTGATCACCCTCTAGTACTATCCTTACCTGGCTAACTACCAGGGTAAAATTTTAATTTTTTACTTTAGGAGTTTTTGGTTAGGAGCTAGTCTAGTTGAGTTAGGCTAAACCCTAGAGTTAGAGTGATTAAAAAGTAATTGATTTTGATTTGTTTTAGTTAGGATTTTCCTTTTTCTTCTCATAAAAAAACTAAATTTTTTCTCCTTATGGATTAGGGATAATACACATCGATCAATTTGTTTTGAACCAATCATAGAAATGGCGTATCCTAATCCGCCCGTTTTTCAAGATATGTGCTATCCCATTAGGAATACAATCCCCTCTTGTATTAGGCTCCCCAAAGCAAATAGAACTAACTTTGAGCTTCGACCGTACTATATCAACGTGCTTCTAAAATTTCTAGGGAATGAAACTAAAGATGCATATATTTTTATCTCAGAATTTGAGGAAGTATGTATGATGATTAAAATGAAAGAATTAACTGAAGATGCAGTCAAACTCAGATTTATTCATTTTGCCCTTAAAGACAAAGCAAAAAAATGGCTATACAGCTTATACATAAATTCCATCACAACTTGGGAGGAATTTATCACTGTTTTTCTTAAGAAAATTTTCCCGATCCATAAAACTGTGAAGCTAAGAAATAGCATCATGAATTTTAAAATTATCCCGGGAGAATATTTTTGGAAGTATTTTGATCGATTTAAAGATCTTCTTATCCAATGTCCTCATCACGGCTTAGAAAAATAGCGATTGTGCCAAATAATTTATGAAGGATTAGATTATTTTGCAAAAACTTTCTTAGAGTCAATGTGCCACGAGGATTTCATGAGAAAGTACGCTGATGAAGCTTGAGAGTTTTTAGAGAGTCTTTCTAAGAAAATCATGCAATGGGAACATTGTGATGACAGGGTTTCGTCAGTTTCCCAACCTAAATCTAGTGGTCTTTCTTTAGAGTCGAACATTGCCTCCAAAGCAAAGATGGCGATAATTCTGCGAATGTTAGAAGCCTTAGAAATTAAGGAACGAGCTCTAGCTCAAATTAATCAAGTTTCTGCCCCAGGTTGTCATAATTATTAGTCTCCTACCCATGTTTTAGAGGAATGCCCTCTCCTAGGAAACACTCATTCATTAGAACAGATGAACGCTGCATTCTAACGTCTAATGAATGATCCATTTTCTCTAACCTACAATCCAGATTGGAGAAATCATCATAATTTCGTATGGAATCAAGGAGGTCTCCAAGGAAATTAAAATTTTAATCCTACTTCAAACCAACACTTTCCTAGGGGGAACACAGTTTCTTTCAATTCTCATCCATAATTTCAACAACCCAATCTGTCATATCAAAATCAGTCTCTTCTTCATCAAGCTATAATTCAGACTCCTCACAATCTAGATCAGGATAAACGTCTCAATGTCTTGGAAAAGGGTTTGAAAATCATAATTAAGGCCTCTACTCAAACCACGAATATGTTGACTCAAACGTCCAGCACTCTGAATTCCTTTATGCAATCAATCAGACAAATGCTCAACTCCAACACTCAAGCTATAGCTAGATTAGAATCCCAACTTGGTCAACTAGCTAGTGTCATGAGTGAAAGAGAGAAAGGAAAATTTCTAAGTCAACCAGTGGTCAACCCTAAGGACACATGATGCAGTTCATCCTATGAAGCTCAAGTGAATGCAATCCATTCACTTCGGTCAGGTAGACAGGTAGATAATCAAGTAAGAACTACTCCAAATCAAACTCTTAATCCAGTACAAATTCATTCTCCTTCTCCTTCTGATGAATCTATTCAACAATCACCCCCCTCAGATGACCAAGAACCTAAATCCAAATCTGAGCCTGCTTTTGATAGGTTTAGACCAGTTGCCCTTTTCTAGATAGACTCAGGCCTAGGAAACACCCCCTTAATAGGAGAAGATCCTAGAAATATTCAAGCATGTTAAGGTCAATATTTCTCTCTTAGATGTAATTGAACAAATTCCATCTTATGCTAAATTTTTGAAAGAATTATGCACTAAGAAGAGGAGAATAAATGTTCCAAAGAAAGTCTTTTTAGCCGCCAATATCGGTGATATGCTCTCAAATCCCATACCTTTGAAATGTAAGGATCTAGGTTCTCCTATTATTTCATGTGTCATTGGTAATACTTACATTGATAAAGCGCTTTTAGACTTAGGGGCCAGTGTCAATTTGCTTACATATTCACTCTACCAGCAATTAGGTCTAGGTGTACTGAAACCAACCCGCTGCACTTTGCAGTTGGCTGATAGATCTGTTAAGGTCCCTATGGGTGAGTTAGAGGATGTTCTGATTAAGGTTGGAGATTTTATTTTTCTAGTAGATTTTGTAGTCTTGGAAACACAGCCCGTTTTCAATCCTAAAAGACAGACACCTGTCATCTTAGGACGACCATTCTTAGCCACTTCTTATGCTCTCATCAACTGTAGAACTGGTCAAATGAAGCTATCATTTGGGAATTTGA